TTTCTTTCTTTCTTTCTTTCTTTCTTTCTTTCTTTCTTTCTTTCTTTCTTTCTTTCTTTCTTTCCTTTCTTGCATTTTCCCCCTCTCTACAGAGAGTGAACCAAGAACTTTCACCCTTGATGACATCACCAGCCATGTTTCTTTATTTTTCATTTTGGGAAAGGTCTTAATAAGTCGCCAGGATGGCCTTCAACTTGCAGGTCTCCTGTCTCATCTTCCTGAGAAGGTGGAATGAAAGGTATACAACATCATGCCCAGATCAATGATTTTAGTTTTTTTTTTTTTGGAATCTGGGAATCGAACTCAGGACCTTGCAGTTGCCAGGCAGGTGCTATGCCACTAAGCTATATCCCCGGCCCAGTGATTTTTTTTTTGTTGTTTTTTGTTTTTTTTCTCCAGTACTGGGAACCGAACTCACGACCTTGCGCTTGCCATCTGGCCCAGTGATTTTTGTTTTGATGGGGAGTAAATGCCTTTCTACTCTCATAGAAGAGTCCACTATGGACAGATAACATTATTGAGCTAGAATTGGCCCTATTTACAGTCACATCCACCTCAAGGTGCCACAGAGACAAAATCCTTGCCCCCAGTCCATCTGTGCACCAAGGATACCTACCTGGATGCCATCCTTCAAGTGAATCATCATTCTGTGCCCCAAAGAGGGATGAGGGTCCATTGTGCCAATGTGGACAAAGTTAAACTGGCCCTCTGGGCTCTGCTGTCTTTGGAAAACATCGAATTTTGCCACCAAATCTCCGTTGGCATCGAACGCGATGTGGGTCCCATCAGGGGTCTGGAAGCGCACCTTCCTGAGGGCGTGAAGGAGCTGGGGGAGGAGGCTGACATGTAGCCTGGCCAGGGCCCCGGCTGGGGGACAGAGATTTGAGCTCCAGGTAGCACCAACTGGCACAGGGGGCCAGGAAAATGTTCCACTTTACCTTCTTGTAAAATCAAAAGGAAAGTTTAAAAATGTATACTTTTTATAGAGCCATATTTAGTAATGAATCAGATCATTCTTACTGCTATAAGGAGGTCATCAATTAAATTTTCATTACTGTTGCATGGAGGCAGGAACCCAGGACACTGTGTCTGCTGTGTCCCATCCTGAGCTTCACGTCCTATTCTGAGCTCAGTGCATTCTCCATGCATGGTGTCCACAGAGGCCCTGCCTGCTGTGCTCCCAATCCCACTCCAGACGCTGCCACCAAACCAGCTGCAGCCCTGCCTGGGCTCTTGTCCTTTGCGGGGCCTTGGCACAGGCTGGCCCTGGGGCCACCACTCTCCTCCTATGGCAGCAGCTTTCTGTGCAGGCTGGATCTCAGGTTCCTCTTCCTTGAGATCTAACCTGGCCCTCCACTCATTCCCTATCTCACCGCATGCAGACATCTCATGCTGGTGGATTCTATCCTCTCTGCCCTGCCCCACAGCCAGGCATCCTCAGTGTCCATGCATTCAGAGCCATGTGTTCTCAGTCCCCAACAAGGTGAGGTCCTTTAATCAGAGTGGAGGCCACAACAGCACCCCTTCCTTGCTCAGTCTCCACTCTGGCCTCTCAGGCCAGCAGCATACCCTCATGAGATGGCTCTCCACTCCAGGCAGAGGATGTCCACCTCAGTCCACCTGGGCTGCAAGTAGATGGTGAAGATGCTCTTCACAACCTCCTTGTCCTCCCACCCATTAGATGGCAGGATGTCAGAGTTAGCAGACATCACACATTGAGGAGGAAGGTTAGAAATCCAGGCATTAAACAGATTGCAGCAAATCATCAAGAAGATTATGCTCCATGACTAAGTAGGATTCATTCCAGGGATGCAGGGATGGTTTAACAGGCAAATTAGTAAATGTAATACCCCATATTAAGAGAACCAAAGATAAAAATCACATGATCGTCTGAATAGATGAAGAAAAAGCATCTGACAAAGTTCAACAACTATTCATGATAAAACCCCTACAGAAAATTGGAATAGATGGTCTTTATCTCAATCTAATAAAAGCCATCTGTAACAAACCAACAGCCAACATCATTTTAAATCAACAAAAACTGAAAACTTTCCCTCTAAAATCAGGTAGAAGACAAGGATAGCTACTATTACCACTGTTATTCAATGTATTTCTGGATACATTAGACAGAGCAATTAGAGAAAGAAATAAAATGAATAAGAATAGGAAAGGAAGAATTTCAGTTATCATTATACATAGAAGATCCCAATAACGCCACCAAAAAACTTCTAGATTTAAGAACCAAATTCAGTTGTATAACTGGATACAAAGTCAGCCCTTAAAAATCAATAGCATTCTTGTGCACAAATAGGAAACACACTGAGAGAGAAACTAGGGAAACCACAACTTTCACAGTAGCATAAAAAGTGAAATACTTAGGAATCAATCTAAAAAGGAAGTAAAAGAACTTTACACTGAAAACTACAGCACTCTAAAAAGGGAGATTACAGAGGATACCATAAAATAAGATATCTCTTGTTCTTGGGTAGGAAGAACCAACATAGTGAAAATGGCCATACTTCCAAAATTGTTCTACAGATTCAATGCAATTCCATTCAAAATGCCAGTAGCATATTTCACTGAATTAGAGAAAACAGTCCTAAAATTCATTTGGAACCAGAAAAGACCTAGAATAGCAAAAGCAATTCTGGGCAATGAAGGCAAGACAGGGGGCATTGTAGTCCCTGACTTGAAATTATAGGGCAAAGCTACCATGATAAAAACAGCATAGTACTGGTAAAAAACAAATAAACCATCCTAGGATCAATGGAATAGATTAAAAGATTCAGACACAACTCCGTACACATTCAGCCACCTAGTGTTTGAAAAGGGAATCAAGCACCTTCACTGGAAGAAAGATAATCTCTGTGCCAGAAAAATTGGCTTTCTGCATGTCAAAGATTAAAACTAGACCCATATCTTTCAGCAGGCTCTAAACTAAAATTAAAATGGATCAAAGATCTAAACATTAAAACAGAAACATGAAACTGGCTAGAAGAGAGAATAGATGGAACTCTTGAAGACATGGTATAGGCAAAGACTTTATGAACAAAACCCTGGTTGCACAGGAAATATCACAAAGAATCAACAACTGGGATCTCATATTATTAAAAAGGTTTTGCACAGCAAAAGAAACTGCCAACTGAGTGAAGAGGCAACACACAGAGTGGGAAAAAATTTGCCAGCTGTTCTTCAGACAAAATATATAAAGATCTCAAAAAATCAAACTCCTCAAATTTAGAGACCCAATCCAAAAAAGGGGCATTGAAATGAAGACACTCTTCAGATGAAGAAGTAGAAACAGCAAATAAATACATGAAAAAAGTTCAACATCACGGATCATTTGAGAGATGCAAATTAAAACAACACTGAGATTCCACCTCACTCCAGGAAGAATGGTTGTCATCAAGAAATCAACCAATGACAAATGCTGGAGGGGTGGTGGGGAAAAAGGAACCCTTTACTCACTGTTGGTGGTACTGTATACTGGTGCAACTACTGTGGAAATCCATGTGGAGATTCCTCACAAAACTAAACATAGAGGTTCCATAGAGCTTCCATTTGACCCAGTATTCCCCTTCTTGGTATCTTCCTGAAAGAACTAAAAGCATCATACCACAGTGAAATATACACATGTCTATAGCAGCCAGTTTGTAAAAGTTAAATCTTGGAAACAACAGTTTGTAATAGTTAAATCTTGGAAGATTTAGTTTCCCTTTTCAGTTGAGCACAGTTGGTAATAATTAAATCTTGGAAACAACTGTTTGCCCACCAGCTGATGGGTGGATATCAAAAATGTGTTCTTTAAATAATGGAGTACTACTCAGCCAGAAAGAAGGGTAAACTTGAGACTTTTCTAGGTGAATGGATGCACCTTGAGATCATGCTTTTAAATGAAATAAATTGGACACACCTGTTTACATGTTGCATTGTTTCTCTGCTGTGAGAAAACAAATATATAAATATGGACCAAAATGTATACTAGATATTGAGAAATAGGAAGGAAATGTTCAAATGAGAAGGGGAACTAGGAAGGGGTAATGGAGGAAGGAAGGGAAAAGAAAAAGGAGAATGGAAGGAAGAAGTTGGAAAGAAAGATTTTGTAAATGAGAGGAGAAAGATTGAAGGGAGGGGACTGAGGAAAAAATCAAGATATGTACACGTACAAATTCCCTGTGATGCATGCAATCATTATATACCTCTAAAATGTATCAATAAAATTAAAATTAAAAAAAAATACTATAAAATACCTGCTGACATTTTATAGAATTGCATGAAATCCACGGATCAATTTGAGGAGAATGCCATTGTAACGATATTGAGTCTTCCATTCTCTGAAATGTTGCTGTTGTATATCTGTATTTAGTTAGGTATTTTTAAACTTCTCTTTTGAATATTTTGTAGCTTTTAATGATAGATGTCTTTGAATAACTTTGTTCCTGGATATTTGAAGTTATCCTGTGCTATAAGTAATAATTTTAATTCCCTAATTGATCTTAATATATAAAAACTAAATTAATTTTCCTACTTATCTTCTATCCAGTCATCTTTGCAAAATTCAACTTGTTCATTCTAGAAATTTATCTGTAGATGTAATAGCATTTTAGAACCATATGACCACATCATCTGTGAATAAAGAGAAGTTTGATTCTTCTTTTTTAAAAAATAAAAAATAACCCCCCCTCACGTTATAGGCACTTGTGCTGCTTTCCTCAGGCAAGTAGCCTGCTTTCCAATGCCCCCAACCACAGAGTTTCTCTCTACGGAGAAAGAACTCATAGAATATCCCACCTGTGAGCTCTCCTCTCAGGACAGCTACAAAGGTCCAGTGAAGCATCACTCTGGGCACACTAGCTTGGAGAGACCACAGGGAAAGCCCTGAGGAGACTGGATCATGAAGAACCCAGAGGTCAGGGACAAGGACATGGTTATCTGTGGTGGGGAAGCCTCCAGGTTGTGATATCTTCCTGGAGAGAGTAGGTGTGGCAAGGGGTCGTCCTCCATAAAACAGGTCACAGTGGATCAAACAACACCTTAGTGCACATAGCCTTGGCCCTCAGAGGGGGAATGGTGAGGAGTGAGCCTTGACACAGTCGAGAGGATAAGAAGACCTGGGCAGCTTAGAGACTTAGCCAGACCCTATCCAAAATAAAACAAAAAATGAGCTGTAGGCTTAGAGCCTTTGGAGCATACCCCTGGGCTAATCCACAGTGCTATAAAAAAGACTTATTAGTAACAGCATATCTCATGCATATAAGACACACACACAGAAGCTATTTGCTATTTATCTTAAATTCAGATATGGACCATATATTTATTATAAATCAATTATTGGTCACAAAACTCAAATTTGGGACACATACTAAAAACTATTCACACTAAATCTGACATTTGAATTTCCAGAGGCATCCAGGGCATGCTAAATGGAGCCATACCATAGGAATGGAATGCATCTGAGCCCACACAGCCAGTTTGGCTTTGGGACTTCTGGTCCAGTGTTCCTGCCAGACACCTCTGGTTGCACCTCTGGGTTGCATCCTGCTGAGAGTGTTGGCTCCCCTCCGTTCCCTGCTCACCTGCCAGGGCTGGAAGTGTTGGAGATCTCCACATGCCTTATCCTCGTGCTCACAGGACACCAGGTCCTGCAGGGCATGAGCAATGCTGTAGACGGCTGGGTAGGCAGCTTCCACTCTACTCACATCCTGGAAAGAATACTCATGGCTGCTGAGACTCTCATTACCTGAACAGAGGTGCACGTCCCTTGTCGCAGTGTCATTGCCATGTGGCCACTTGCACTTAAAGGTGGCTTCCCAAAACCTCCCCAGG